ATCCCTTATAATTAGCACAGGGATTGCCAGATGTAAGTAACTGGGTGGGTGGTTTATTTCCATCCTGTTTGCGAAATGGAAGGGCTAAAACCGTTGAGGGGACAGAAGGCTTGAATCAGAAGGATCATGGAATCCTGCACCTCCGCTAGCTGTAAGACACTGGGCAACTTACCTTACCTCTCTGAACCCCATCCCTTCATTTGTAAAAATGATCGTAACAAAAGAATCACTTAGGTTGTGTATAAGTTTAAAGGAGATAATACAGGCAAAGCAGTTAGCCAGGTGCCTGGCCATAAGTACTCTATAAGGTCAGTCAGCTGTTTTTACAAATGGTGCGACTGTACTGTTGGGAACTAAAGTACTGACATGAAACCGTTGGCAAATATTTTCACATTCATCTATTTTTTCTTATTCAATTATTCATTTGTTTAACCTGTTAATGCATTCAGCGGATATTTTCTGGGCATCTATTATCAGTCACTTCTTGGGTGGGTCCAGCTGTATTTCATAAAATCCAGCCCCACGGGAGTTTTGACTCTGCTTACAAGAACTGACGGAGTCTGGCGGGGAGGGTAGGAGGATAGGGTAGGAGATCTTGTCTCACTGGCAGTGGGGGTTTGGAAGTTGTTTTTTGCAGTCTCTGAACAGAGCAGACCTCTCTCGTATTTGGACAGCACTGAGACAAGACAGCTTTCCACAGCCGCCTTTGCTTCCCACCCTTTGCCCTTCGGGAGGTGTGTCCCCCTTCTCTTGAAGGCCCCAATCAGCAAGCTGGAATCTGTTTTCTCTATAGTGGGGCTGTTTCCTAGGACTGCCCTCTATTGTGGTCTTCTGTGCTGTCTGTTGTAGTAGAGTTCCTACAACAGCCCTACAGTGTGTTGTTGATGCTCCCAGCATCCCACGCTCCACACTTGTAGTGCTGTCCCCTTCTTGCCCCCACTGTGCATCTCAGGGCCTGTCTCCTACTGGACTGGGGTGGCCACACTGCTATTCATACTTGCTTTGGGATTACATACCTACCGAGTCCCTTCTCTTTGTACTGCTCCACCCACCAGCCCCCATGCCCTGCATTCAAGCTGTGTGGCAGGCACTACTGGGCAGGCAGTCTTCTGGATGTCTGAGAGACAAAGGAGCCTAACACATGCACACTCTATGAATAGACATCACACTTGTGTTAAGGGCCATGATGCATGGTGCTTTGGCAATAGCTGGCTCTGCCTTGAGAAGTCAGAGAACCCTTTACCAGGAGATGTTGTTTGAGTAATCTTGAAAGACTTACCTTGGTAGACAGTGGGAGACAAGGAATTCCAGTCAAGGAAAAAATCATGCATGAAAGGCCTGACATTGCATGATGTTCTTAGAGACAATGTGATGTGAATGGCACAAAGGGAATACACTTTTTGGGGGCTTAAGGGATCATGAGTAGCAGAGGGAGGAAATGAAGCCAGAGAGGTAAATAGGGAGCTACTCATGAGGGCCTTATAAGTCATGCTATGTAGTTTAGGCTTTGCCCTGCAAACGTGGGGAACCTGTGAAGGGTTTTGCACGGGGCATCACATGGTCAGATTTACATGTAAGGAAGGTGGGACACATGGCTATAGGTGTTTGGATGGTCCCGTTTGTCCTCTAGTGATTCTGTAAGGCAGGCAAGACAGACACTGTGTTATCTACTTTTTACACCGGAGAACACTGAGGCCCAAGAGGTTAAATTCCTTGCCAGAGGTCTCTGAGCCAGAAATCAGAGGACCTAGGACTCACCTACCTTCCTGGCTCTGAATCTCTTTCTCCTGGGCATATTGCCATTGTTGACAGAGTCTTCTAGAAAGCTGCCTGCAGCTGGGCAGTGGGTAGATACTGACAGGAGCATTATGAAGCAAATGGTCATTGATACAATTGAAGGAGTATAGCACTGGGATTTTGTGGCCTCTGGTGTTGGTCTTCTGACCTCTATGCCAGTGCACAGACAATAAGAAGCAGTGGGGAGCTTTGAGCTTCAAGCTGTACATTGTCTTGACAAAATTCCTTCATCACTGTCTCACTCATTAATTCAGAGTAGCATCTGCTGCCTGATACTGGCATTTGTCAATGGCTTGTTTCTGGAAGCTCTTGGTCCTTAAAGCTAATCAGCTCTGCAGTCCACAGCCTTAGGGTAAACCCTGGAAGTCAGAGGCAGGCCCTTTCTCTCTATGCATTTTGTAAAATGAAACAACTTTATTTTTTAAAAAACAAAGGTATCATGATACAGCAATAAAGAATACTAGCTTGGAGATCAGGCAGACCTGGGTTTTAGTTCTGCTGTTGCCACTTAACTAGCTGTGAAGGTTATTTAATATGTATGAGCCTCAATCTCCTTATGTCTAAAATGAGCAAAATTAAATCTACCTGAAAAGATTACTGTGATGATTAAAATGTGATAATGTTTATAAATTGCCTTGGCAAGACTCCTGGCACATATGAGTCCTCAATACATAGTGCTTTAATTCCTGCTGTTACTACTGCCGCCACCATCGCTACTGCTACCTCCACAGTTACAGAATATTTGGAAAATAGAGAACAGTAGAAAAATATTTTATAATCCTACCACTATGATTCAGCTACCCTTATAATTAAGTTTCCTTCAAATTCTTTCTCCCCACTACTTCTAAACATACCAGATTTTAAACCCAGGTGGGTTTTTTTCTCTATGGTGGGAACTATATATTTATTTTTTCTTATTTTTAATAGATTTTTTTCCTGGTTGTAAGAATCATATATAAAATTCAGAAAGTATAGAAAAAAGAAAAAAAAACATGCATTTTGATGTATCTCCTTTTAGTCATTCTTTTTCATGTTTTATTGTAGAGTTAAGATCATATTGTATATATAGTTTTATGTGATTTTTAAGTTCATATGATGATATGAGTATGTTCCTATTATTATAAGCATAATTTTCCAAGGCTGTGTAATAATCCTCTCAATGGCTCTATCATAATTTACATAAATATTCCTCTATCGTTAGAAATCTAGGGTTTTTCCCCCCAATTCTTCAATCTAAACAGCTTCCTGTAACATACCTAGGTAACCAGGCTAATTATAGCCAGGAAGCACATAATGATCTTGTGCTGTGTATGTGGCCCCTGGTGAGGCATAGTGGGAACCCTCAGGTAAGTCAGACCCAGAGTCAGCCTTAAAGGAGCTCAAAGACTAGACAACCTGGAAATATTTACTGAGGGTGAAATACACAGGAATTTCTTTGCCAGACAATCAGGGAGTCAATGTAGGTGTGGGAGCCCTCTTCCTTGTGGATGCTGGGATCTGGGAGGCATAGCTTTGACACAGAAAAAAAGCCTAGGAAGCCTTGCTGCCACTTCTCACCTACCAATGTGCACATTGGCTTCCAATGCTCAGATGCCTTTTGAGCCTGTTACCATAACTGTCAGGGACCTGTGCTAAGAATCTTTGGATATAACTTCCAAGTGGTTCTCACTGGAAAGAGTGAGAAGCATCAATATAGGAACTTGTGCGAGAATTAGGAGAATCAGAGTGGCTCTCATCTTAGTTTTTTTTAATTTTATTTTTTTAATTGATAAAGTTGTATATATTTATCACATATAGCATATTTTGAAATATATATGCACAGTGGAATGGCTAAATCAAGCTAGTTAACACATTATTTCACATACTTGTCATTTTTGTGGTGAGAAACAAAATCTCTTAGTATTTTTCAAAAATACAAACTATTATTATTAATTCTACTCATTGCTGACAACATGGATGAACCTGGAGGACATTATGTTAAGTGAAATAAGCCAGGCACAGAAAGATAAATACCACATCATCTCACTCAATGAGGAATCACTCATATATATGGATCCAAAAGTTGATCTCATGGAAGTAGAGAACAGAATGGTGGCCCTAGTCTTAGTTTTGGGACAGGCTTGCTCTAGGACCTGAGGTGATTTATTTCCCCTTCCCATACCTCTGTCATCTAATGTAGGTGATCTCCAGGGCCCTTCCAGCATTAACTTTTCAGAGTACCCGAACCCCTCCTCTTGCCAGGAGCTAACATGAACATCTTTCATGGATTCCCTCACTTAGCAGATGTTAACCGAGTCACAGGCCTTGTACAATCCATCTGTGCAATACAGATGTGATACTCCAGCCCTGTTCTCAAGAGGCATGCAGTCAAGTGAAAGGAAAAATGTTAAAAGGCAACAAGATGGCTGTGACAATGGGGTACATATGACATAATGGCAGGAGTCATTATGACATAACAGGGTGCCTGAGTCTACCTAGAAGCAACAGCAAAGGCATCTCAGAAGATGCTTTGAGACTTTAAAGGGTAAGTAGAAATTTATTAGGCAGTAGAGGAGAAGGCATTCTGGGTAGAGAAAAAAGTGTGTGCAAAGGCCTGGAAGTATGAGAGAAAGAATATGCTGTGTTCAAAGAACTGCAGATAGTTTGTGTGGCTGGTAGGTGAACGTTCAGAGAGGGGACAGATGAGGAAAAGTCAAGCATTTCTCCCTGGATCAGTCTATTTCTACTGAATCCTTTGCTCATTTTATCAGTCCATATGAGAGTGATAGTCTTTTTAGTTTTCAAAAACTGTTATATTTATTGCTTATCTTTCCATTTTTAAAGTAACAATGCTCATTATAGATAGTTTGAAAAAACACAAAAAGAAGAAAGAAGAAAGGACAAAAAATTACTCATTGTCTCATTGGCTAAAGGCAACTTCTTTAATATCTTAGTGTATTTCCATTCAATTTTTTCCACTCTTTTTATGTAGCTGTGAATGTGTTGTAATCATAGTCTTAACCTTTGTATATGGTACTCCTTTTTACTTCTTTTTTTTTTTTTCCTTATTGACAGGTATGGAGATCCTTTTTACTTCTTTCCTAAAATTTGCCAAAAATGAATGTTAGTGTCATTTGAAAATAACTGTGATCATAAAATATGCTGGCTGAAACATGTGTACATTTTATTTCTCTTCATATAACTTATTTTCATTCTTTTTACAGGTCTCTTGTGGCTCAGAGCATAATTTGGCAGTAATTGGTAAGTAATTTTTATTTGATGGCTGTGTTTATTCTGTAATTCATGTGGCAGAATTGCAAAAGACTCTTGGTTAGCCAAAAGCCAGGGTGCATGTGTGTGCACATTGTGTGTGTGTATGTGTGTGTGTGTGTGTGTGTGTTTGGGGACAGATTTGGGGAAATGGAAGTTTCTGGTTAACTAAGGGTTTACTAGAAGCACCTTTTCTGAAAATTTCTAGCCATATCCTTGAGCATCTTTTTAAAGTACCTGCAATGGCCTTTCTGCCTTGGGAAGTGACACTGGAAGATATTAAAGAACTCATGGGCTGGGGACATCATATGTAGAAAGCCAGACATAAAAATGGGGAGTGGACTGGACTGTTTCTGGTTCTTTGAATGAATCCCTTATACCAAATTCTCAAATTCTTTCCTATTGGTTTGGCTCTTTCATTGGAAATATGGGGCTCTGCTCACTGCCCTCACTGCTTTGTATTTAGTGGCCTTAGGAACTCCCAGTTTGACCCAAACCTGTGGTTAATAGAGGCTTCCTCTTGGTTGGCTCTGGATAATCAAAGTTCAATGTTTTCGTAATTAAACCTACAAGTAATTCATTTAAGAAGCCTTCTGACTACTTTCACAGGTAGACTCAGTCTCCACCTCACAGTGTATTAAAGAGACTATAGTGTAGGGCCAGACTGCCTGAGTTCAATTCAGACTTCCATTTACTAGCAGTATGAACTTGGACAAGGTACTTAATCCCTCTTTGCCTCATTTTCTTCATCTTTAAAATGGGGAGGGCAATAGCGCCTTCTTCATAGGGTTGGTGGACAGTTAAATGAGTTATATGTAAAGCACATAGAATGGTGCTTAGCTACTAGTAAGGGTTTTAGAAATGTTAGTTATTACCTGATATTATTAATTCAAGTAATTGCCCTCCTCTAGGCTTTAGTTTTCCCATCTGTAAAATGGAGGAGTTAAAATAGAAAACCAAGTTTCCTCCCAGCTCTGATATTTTAGCACTCTTATTATAACCCCACCACTGCCTGCTATGTGTCAGTGATTTTTGTTCTTGTCTACTTCTCTCTCCTAGCCTCTAACCCTGATCTTCTGAGAGGCAAGGCCCCTCCTTGTGTTTCTCTCTTGTTTCTTGTCTATTCACAGCACCCAGAGCAGTGCCTGGCTCTCAGCAGAGACTCACACGCTCTTTTTGGAATTGAGCTATATTGGCTCAGCTGCCTGGTAGGGCAGTAGTTTGAAACTACTTTGCAAGTCCAAACATGATGTGCAAAGAGGCAGAACCGAGGACAGCAGAGGTAGGAGGCTGCCAGCCAGCAGAGGGGGTGGGGAATAAAAGGGCTGGAGTCAGAGAGGGAGCTAAAAAATGTAGCAGCAAACCTGCATGCTTTGCAGCAGTACCAGATACTTTATACCGGAACTGCTTCAGCCTGGGTGTAGTTAAGATAGGGAAATCAAAGAGTCAAAGGCAGTGCCTAGGATGTTGCTAATGCCGCTGTCACTGGACTTGAAGAGGTTGGCTTCCTCTGAGACCAGTGCAAACAGGAAGATTGCAGGGAATCTAAATTTGTGAAATAAGTAAGTCCAGACAAAGGAGAGGGCCAGAGCTAGCAGAGCAGCAGGCTGAGCTGACTTAGGCAGCCTGGGGCTGTAGAAAGAGCAGGGACTCTGCAGGCAAACGGCATTGGTTCAAACCAGCACCATCTGTGTGAGCTTCCATTTTTTTCCCTCATCTATGTAATGGGGATTATAATTCCACCTTGAAGGTTTATTGTGATGATTAGTTGAGATAATGTATGTGTAATTCCTGCTGTTCCTTTTGTTTCTCTTTTCTCTTGGCCCGGTGGGGGAAGGGGAGAATTGCTTGTTAGTGTAACTGTTCTAGTGAAATATTTCTTTTCTGGGAAAGAGAAATGATGACATTTTGGATAGGTGTGTCCATCGTTATCCAAGTGAGGAGGCCATCAGAAGCAATGGGAGAACAGGGCACGCAGGAGAGCTCCTTGAGGACAGATCTGTTATTTCCCCTTTTGTCCCTAGTGCCTGGGGTGTGGCTGGAAGTCTGCTGAAAGAATGGTCCAGAGGAAAAGCTGGCCTGCCAGCAGGGAACTAGAGCCTCCCCTCCATTGGAGGAATGAGGCCCTCTGTGGGTGCCCTGCAGGGTGCAAGCTTTGCAACAGGAAGTAACAAGAAGCTGCCTGTTAGCCCTGGCTGGTGACCAGCAAGAGGGGGACAAGCTGGAGGAGAAGAGTTCCTACCAGCTTAAAGCCCCATTTCTCACAGGCAACTCCTCTTCTCTACCTTCTGCCCTTGCCCATCTTAGATGGTTTCCTTGCTGGCAGCCTCATTCCCTGAGTTCTTACCCCTTCGGTGCCTGGTGCTGTGTCCCACCTGTGGTAGGCACAAAAGAATTATAGAGTAGACTAGAACAGACTATAAAGAAGCCAAACTTTGCTCAAGGGTAGAAGCAGCCCTGATGTCTAATAATGTGCGACAGACGAATCAAACTGGAAAGGACGTGAAATAGAGAAGGATGAAAGGACCTAACTGAGAACCCACTCTGTCTTAGGTAATGGACACAACTCTACAGAGTATATTTGTTGCTTTATAGAGAAGAAAACTGGGACTCAGAGGTTGAAAGCATTAAACAGGTTGCCCAGGGTTCAGCAGCAGGAAACAGTAGAGCTCTCCGCCTGACTCCCAAGACTACTCTTTCCACTCTGTCATATCCTGTGCCCTGCTGCAGTCTGGGTGGTGTGGTTAAAAGAGATCAGGCACTGGGGTCAGATTGCCTGGATTCAAATTCTGCCTCCTCCACTTATGAGCTGTGTAACCTGTGTAAGTGGCTTACTTCTCTGTGTCTTAATTACTTCTGGGATATCATTTTACTGACCTCATAGTGTGGCTATGTGAAGTCTAAGAACAGTACCTAGCACAAAAGTAAAGGCTCAATAAATGTTAGCTGTTATTATTATTATATAATAAGACCTCAAGGAAGGAAGTAATTGTAAGATGACTACAAGAAGGCCTGGGGCTCGGGGTGGGAATTTCAGAAGTTAGGGAGGGAACTGTTTTTCTCACCCTGGATGTCAGGGTCTGCGGCAAGATCTCAGCACAGCCGCAGAATGGATTTGTAAACTGGAGCCTGGTGTCCCAGTCGGGGGGATCTGGATATCCCAGCAGCCCTGGAAACAGTGCTATCCCAGATTTGTTCCAGGTCAGAATTCTGCTGTCCACTGTCCCAGAAAGGGACTCAGACCCTGTATGTTCCGTCTGGAGACAAGCCCCCCAGCAGCCACATTTCACTTTCTTCTGGGGAAGAAAATTCTACTCTGTTACTTTATGTGCTTCCAGGTTTCTTTATTTCTCATTTGCAATTTGGTTAGGTCCTTCCTTTGTTTCCCAGTTCAGTTTCTCTTGACATGTTTGTGTTTGCCACCAGGTGCCCCCATGGCTAGACAGGATAATGAGGTGGTGTAAGTTTCTGCTTTAGATGAAGGAAGAGTTGCTGGAGCTGGGCATAGGAGAGAGCTGAAGTTACTGGCCCTGGCTGGCTTGGCCACTCTCTACCTGTGTGTCTTGTTATGATCACTCTGCCTTATGGAGCCTGCTTTCTCATCTGTAAAGTTTGTGATGCCTACCCCTAGAAGTTGTTCTTCCAAATGGCCACCGTACATTAAGCACCTGTTCAGTACCTGCTTCAGGATAGGTGCTCAGCAAGTGCTCGCTCACTTGGCTGGTTCACTAGTTTGCTTTCTTCCTTTCCACCCAGGATTTCCCTCCACATTTGTTAAAGCTTCCTGGTTGCCTTCCATTTGTAGGCATAGACTGAGGCCAGCAGAGGTGAGCTGAGGGCATGTGGCCACCACTTGCTCAGAAGATCTCTACCTCCCTGAGCCAGGTTCCCCAGATCCAGCTCTGTGTTTGGGTCCCTCACCTCTGTATCTGGCTGAATTGGCTGCAGCTGTTTTGCTTCCCCCAGGAGCAGCTTATTTTGGCTTGAATGGGCAATTTGTTTGCTTTCTCTCCTGATGTGCAGTTGTTCAGCCTTCCCTTCCCGTGGAGAAAAAAGAGCTGACTGCGTTTCCTCTCTCCCTGCTCCACACAGACCCTTGGAAGGATTTTATTGGTGGCCTTTTCCTGGAGCACTCAGGCTTGCCAGACAGGCATTGTTAAAGGGTTGGATATTGGCAGGCAAGTGTGGTGCCGCCTCCTTCTCCAAGCAAAGCCAGTTCTTTTACTAAATTGGAGCTATAATCTATGCATGGATATTTTTTTTCATTTCCCTGATGATTTCCAATTGTTGAACCTTTGTACCTTTGTAATATATATAGCAGAACATCTGACCTTGGCCTGAAACCCATCAAACAGTGTCATGGAAGGATTAAATAGAAAAATTTAATAGAGAGAAATAACTCTTTTTTGGCACTGGCTGTTTTCTGAGAGGTGATGCCTCCAAACCCCAGGATCTTGTAGAGAGCTTAGAGGGAGGTTACAAACTTTTATGTTCCTATGCACGATATGATAAGCAGTATGTAAATGCTTTGCCTCTATTATCCCATTTAATCCTCACAGCAAATTGATGAGCAGGTACTAGTGTTAACCCCATTTTCTAGAGAAGGGATGATAAAGCCTAGGATTAGCTGTTTGCCCCACCTAGGTCATGTGGCTAGGAGGAGTCTGTGTGTGGGTCTTTTACCCAGGCCTCTAACTTCAGAGCTGGGGACTGCTATCTGACACTGCCTTCCTGTAGACTGTGCCAGTCTGGCCTTCTTTTAAGGCCACCAGATGAGAGTATTTCACCTCTTCATTTCAACGTTTAAAATATAAAACCTGCCCTCCATGCTATCCCCCAGCTGTCCAGTTTCCCCCAAACCTTCTACCATATATGCGGCTAATACCTGTTATTGGCTTTTTCTGTATCCTTCTAGTTTCTTTTTGCACATATAAGTGAATGCTAAAATACGTTTTTACCGCTTTTACATAAATGATAGCATACTATACATA